GAAGCTAAAAACTTCAAATTTAATTTTGTAATTAAATGAAAAACATTAGTTCCGTTTCATCTTCAAGCGAATTTTATATATATATATATATATATATATATATATATATATATAGATAGATAGATAGATAGATAGATAGATAGATGTGTCTATGCTTGTGTGTGTGTGTAAGGATAGAATATCTATTCGTAAACTATTAAACTTAGACCAATTCCCAGCCTATCGTAAATGTACATTAAAGTGATTCCCTAGAATGGATACTCGTTATTCGTACTATCGACCGCTGCAAATGTTTCATGTTCCCACATGTTTTCCAGGTAACTGTTCTCACTTAATTGATCTCCAAAGTGATGACGGAGAAGTGGAGACAACAGTTTCAACTTGATGCTTATTCCAGCCACCAAACTTGCTTTTCTGTCAAACTTCAAATATGTCTCTTGCGAATCTTACAAATCACAACCGATCTTCGTTTTAGAGGCGAAACTGCGATATATATATATATATAATGGACTCTCCCATTGTGTTCGACGTATGATTATCTGACAGCTTAATTGATTCAATTATGAAATTTTGTGCGATAATCTTAAGCGGCACTTAAGACTCGCTAGTGATTTACAAAGGAGGCCACATATGGAGCAAGTGTGAGGATTGTGGGATGAGATAATTGTTAGATTGGCTGACCTTCTCGATATTGCTCTCGCTTCTTGAAGATGATTCAGACAAGCAGATTGAAAACTGCTGAGTCCACTAAAGCACGTTGATCTACATTCTACCCGCTCCAAGGCTAAGAGTTCAAGAGTGTTATGTGGTATATTAACAGCTGATCAGTTGCTCTTCAGTTAGTCTTTGTGTCTTAGGCATGGGCGTCCTACATAATATATATATATATATATATATATATATATATATATATATATATATATATATATATTATAATATAAAAAAAGAAAGAACAGTAAGATATATATTCTGGTGTTCTTATTGATATTTTTTAAAAGAAAAAACAGTGCGCAATGTAAATTTACAGAGCATAAATATTATGAATTATCTGATTTAAAATATGGCTTATTCGCTACAAAGGAATTACTATGTTTCAAAAACCGAACCTAAAATCTTCAAATTTAATTATATAATTAAATTAAAGGCATTTGTTCTGTTTCAAATTCAAGCGAAGAACTAATGCTTTTAATGTCATTATATAATTAAATATATATATATAAGATATCATATATTGAGTGCAGTTGTTATTAAAATAGTGCTCAGTGATATATAACAGTGTTATTAAGGATATATTAATAAATATACATTTTTTTTATTGTTTTGGGTCCATTTATATTAATGGATTTTTTAAAAATACCTTTAATCCCGCCAATTTTTAATATAAAATAAAACCACTAATCACCGTTTATTTTAAACATAAAATATAATTCACGACTATTTTGATACATTTTTAATGTTAATACATATTTAATATATGGACTGTGACAGCATTGTGTTAACCAGATATCTTTATTAAATTTTAAATTATGTAATGGTCAGTCTCTACCCAGCACCTGAAGATTGCGTTGTGCATGAAACTCCGAGTCGTGCTACCAGTGAGAGATATTATGTATATTTATTAATATATACTATATATGTAAATACACCATACAATTGTTCCTTGGGCGATTATTCAGTGATGTTCGCTTGTTTGCCATTTTCTTATTTTACACATCATACTCGCTCCAGCTGTAACTCAACTTGCTTCAAAAAATAACAGGCCTTCGAGGTGAAGGTCTGTTATTTATACATATATATATGTGTGTGTGTGCGTGTGTGTTTGTGTGTGTGAGTATGTATGTTGGTTTATTCATGTCTTTGTGTATGCCTTCGTATATGTGTGTAAGTGTTTGTGCATGTCTTCGTGGATGTTTGTGTGGATGTCAATGTGGTCGCAGAGTTAACATATTTAAAATCTACATTATAGTCAGCTTAAACCCCAGGCAATAGTCACGACATCAAAATTGATTTTCAAAGCCGTCTGGACCTGTGCTTTTGGTTGACTCATGCAAGTTTTATTTCATGGGGGAGAGGGGAGTGTGCGTAAAAGAGTAAATATTGTTTGATAGATAGATAGATAGATAGATAGATAGATATAAATAAACTAAGATAGATAGATAGATAGATAGATAGATAGATAGATATAAATAAACTGAGATAGATAGATAGATAGATAGATAGATAGATAGATAGATAGATAGATAGATATAAATAAACTGAGATAGATAGATAGATAGATAGATAGATAGATAATGAACAGACTGAGATAGTGATGTGGGGCCAAAGTTGGGACCACAGAAGTAAAACACGGAACACGGATTAGATGTAAGAAAGATATATAGGTTACAGAGATAGTGTAAGCAAAGCTTACTATGTCATTCTCTATGTCGCTCAATGTGACTGTGTGACGATATTCAGTCACCCCCCCACGAGGGTGTCATGTGGCACAAGGCCTTTTTAACGTGGGCATTCCCGAGCCATTAGGCTCGGCCAAAAAATAGCCCATTTGAACCCGTATAAACGGGTTCAGGGCCGGTTTTACCTCCCCGAAGAAGACTCCGCCCTTCGGCGTAGCCTCCTTCGGGTTCCTCCCGCCCGTAGGAAGAGAGTACAACCGTGCAGTCAGTTCAGAGGTGAACGACTGACTCAATGTGACGATATTCAGTCACCCCCCCCACGAGGGTGTCATGTGGCACAAGGCCTTTTTAACGTGGGCATTCCTGAGCCATTAGGCTCGGCCAAAAAATAACCCCATTTGAAACCCGTATAACCGGGTTCAGGGCTCAATGTGACTGTGTGACAATATTCTCACCCCCCCCCGAAGAAGCCATTTGAACCCGTATAAACGGGTTCCGGGGCCAGTTTACCTCCCGAAGAAGGCCCGCCCTTCGGCGTAGCCTCCTTCGGGTTCCTCCCGCCCGTAGGAGAGAGTACAACCGTGCAGTCAGTTCAGAGGTGAACGACTGACTCAATGTGACTGTGTGACAATATTCAGTCACCCCCCACGAGGGTGTCATGTGGCACAAGGCCTTTTTAACGTGGGCATTCCTGAGCCATTAGGCTCGGCCAAAAAATAGCCCATTTGAACCCGTATAAACGGGTTCAGGGCCGGTTTTACCTCCCCGAAGAAGACTCCGCCCTTCGGCGTAGCCTCCTTCGGGTTCCTCCCGCCCGTAGGAAGAGAGTACAACCGTGCAGTCAGTTCAGAGGTGAACGACTGACTCAATGTGACTGTGTGACAATATTCAGTCACCCCCCCCACGAGGGTGTCATGTGGCACAAGGCCTTTTTAACGTGGGCATTCCCGAGCCATTAGGCTCGGCCAAAATAGGCCCATTTGAACCCGTATAAACGGGTTCAGGGCCGATTTACCTCCCCGAAGGAGACTCCGCCCTTCGGCGTAGCCTCCTTCGGGTTCCTCCCGCCCGTAGGAAGAGAGTACAACCGTGCAGTCAGTTCAGAGGTGAACGACTGACTCAATGTGACTGTGTGACTCTCTAGAGTGCTATGTCGCCTACTTAATATAGGCCTGGAAGAGTCTATTGTGTAGGTAGTTTCCGGTCTCACAATACCCACCATCCAAAGAGTTTTCTTTTTGAAAAGGAGAGAAAAAATAAAACTGTTAATACTTTTTCCTCTTGGGATTTACGTCGATCGGTTGAGTAAATTTCATTTTCCTTCCTGAGCGTCACACTTCAGGAGAGACTTGGGGCATGTCGGGATCGAAGTGATCGAAAATTACGTCGATCGGTTCTTCACAGTTATTTTGTAGTGATTCCGATTCCTTCAAACGGCATTTCCTGAGCTGGTTCCAACGGCGTTTGTTTTGGGCCATGGTTTGCACGTCGTGGTTGGAGCTTTTGCTGCAAGCGCACATCCTTTGCATGCTTCTATCATGTCTGCTATGTCCTTGTCCATGTTTGGCCAATAAACGTAGCAGTGAATGAGGCTTTTCGTACGGTTCTTACTCGGATGTCCCATGTGAAAATCCCTGAGGATTTTTCTTTGTAAGCTGTTTGGAATCACTACGCGGTCATTATATAGTAGGACATCATCGCAAAGGGAGAAAACTTCAGGCACATTGGGGTCTTTGTTGCGCATTTTGCTTTTTATGTCGGCCAAAGTAACTGGGAGCTCTCTTATGGTACTCGCAATCATGTTCTTGATTTCACAATTTGTCCTTAGAGTAGCAATGATGGAGTCTTCAAAAACTTCTGTATTTTTTGGAATGAGTCGCGATAAACTGTCTGCATGGCAAATATTTTTGGTTGTTAGGAACTATCTTAAAATTATAGTTTAAGAGAATTGTTCCCCCAACAAAGTAGTCTATTTTCAGTATAGACTGGAAGACCTTTTTTAGACCCAAAAATTGTGATTAGAGGTTTATGATCTGTCTGCAATATGAACCGTCTACCATATAGATATCTGTGAAACTTTGTCACAGCGAATATTAACCCTAGAGCCTCTTTCTCTATTTGGGAATATTGTTTCTCAGCTTTTCGCGAACCGTCTGGCAGTTTATGTAATATGCAAGCGCCTATACCGTACGAGCTTGCATCACTTGCGACTATGATGTCGAGACTAGGGTCGAAATGTGTGAGAGAGAGGTCTGAAGTAAGAGTTTTCTTGATCTTCTCGAATGCTTCCTGGCATTCCGGGGTCCATGACCATGGTTTATCCTTTTTTTAAGAGTTGGTTGAGAGGCCCTCTCAAATTTTGCATGTTCTTAATGAACCCTTGGTAAAAAT